ACCTGTGTGACTCTGGGTCAACTGTTTAATTTCTCTAAGTTTTAGTTACCGTATCTGTCAGACTGGGGCAATGATATCTACCTTGTGGGTGGGGGAATGAGAGTAAATGAGAGTAAAATTGTAGGTATGTATTAGTTGTTCAGTTGTATGCACACACACACACACACGCACACACACAGGCTTGGCACACAGAACTACTCACTGGTAGCCAATATTACTTATACCATACAAGACAGTAGGGAGATAGGAACTACATTTTACTATCTAGAACACAAGTTTCGACCTCTGATAAGGCCACTGCTTAAAGAGAAAAGGGCACAGGCCTGGCTGGCCCTGGGGACAATGTTTTCCTGAGACACCGTGTGGAGCATTACTATCCTGGAGCAGTATCAGACACTGCTGTCTTTTCTTAGGGCCCCTTTGAAGACAAAGAGACAGCTGAGGTGGCTAACTTTCTCTGGGTGATGCACAGCTGGCCACAGTGATGAACAAATAAACAGACCACACAATACCGTCACATCTGGCCAGGGCTGAACAGTGACAAGTGTCTCATCACACTTACTAAGCACCTCTGCTCCAGACCTGATGTGTCCAAGCCTCCCTCTGGGGCCTGAGTCTCCCCCACTGCACCCTCCTGGGGAAAAGGGAGCTTGACACACCCTGTCCCCACTGCCAGGAAAACCACGGGGGGTGCGGATCACACCCATGTCAGCCTCATACAGGAGGACAGGTACAGTGCCCCTAACAAAGCTCATCCATCCAGGCCTCTGGGAACAAATCAGTACAGCTACCTATCCACCCACCAAACTGATTCACGTTAATCCAGAGATGTCAGGATCTGAGTGCAATACCATGGTCCACAAAACCAGACTCATGATAGGCAAGCATCAACCACAAGGTGGGAGGTCCAAGGAGAAATCCACTGATTCAGGTTATGTGCCTGATACCACTTAGTTAACCTTTCTGAACTGTTCCTTTGTCCAAAAGATGAAAGTAGTACTAGTTGCTATGAGGAATAATTAATACACACATTTAAGGACATAGTACAGTGTTTTGCAAATATTCCAGAAATGTTAAGGTTTTCCTCTTTCCTTCAACAAGAAGCAAATCTGAAAAGACCACGAAAACATACTGCCGAAAACATGGGAAACAGTATCTCCTCCTTGTAGACAAGAGAGCACTCTGAGGCAGACACAGGTCCCCATCAGCAATGAAGGGACCGAGTCCTCATCCCCAGAACAGTGGGATGGTGGCCAGCAGCAGGTGAGGGGTCTGCGTGACTGATTCTCCAACTCTGTCAACAATGGCTGGGGAACACCTACCGAGGGTTAAGGGCACACGAGCGCACCTCCCATGTCAGCTGGACTGTATGCAGTTAAGCTCTCAGATGAGAATTTAAGTCCCACTCCCTCACCATGACTGGGGAAGCAGGGAGGGGCGATGACCCCAGGTGAAGATACTGGCAACCTGCCCCAGACGGCATTAGTGTAAGAGAGCATTTTCTGGTTTTCGGCACAGAGCCCAGATCTGTCCATGTAAGAGCTGTCCCGGAAATGCCACAGTTTTCTGGCCCTGCCTGGCAGATGTGATTTCATATGCAGGAGGGGTCTCCAAGAGTTAACAGGCCCTGAGCCACCAGACTCAAAGACAGGGCCTCAAGCACTGTGCTATCCAGTCAGATGATGTGACATAGCCCCGGGGCAGACCGTACCTCAGGCTGATGGCAGTTCTGAGTTGTCTGCCCAACCAGTTTGAATCTTGTCTTCTGTCCCCTAAATGTCATTGGTGCATCTGTCATGGGGCCCAAGGAAATCACCCAAATTGGACAGTTCCTTAAGGGCAGTCGTTCCATTTGATTTATCTTTATTTGCACAGCACCTAGCACCACGCCTGTCACAGAGCACTGTTCAGGAAATCTCTGTGGATGGGAAAGATGGGAAAGGTCTCTGCCTCCTTAGGAGTCCTGAAGCAGCAGCTCATTTCTGGAATGCACAAGGATGACCTGAGCAGCTAGAGGACGAGGACAGGGAAATGACCACAGGGGACGAGAAACATCTCAGAGTTGAGGCCATCGGAGGTGCAGCAGCCTCAGAACGTCAGGGCTGGGAACTGTGCGCCTCCACCTTCTCTTCTGCCTCCCCTCAGGCTGAGGACCGGGCCCAGCTGACAGTCCCGGGTGACAAGTCTTGTTCACCAGAGGCTAGAGAAGAATGGGAGGCTCTCCCAGGGAGTGGAGGGGACATCCCTAAATTAGGCAGCTACCGACCGAGTTCGCAGCAGGAAGTGGACGGCATGTGCTACAGAGGACCATGCCAGTGGCACCCCAGACAGAGCACCCCCTGCCACTCACCCACCGGCTGCACATTCACAGCCACACTGGGTCTCAGGACAAGCCTCAAGCAGGGCCAGGTCTAGGACCCTGCTCACCTCTCAGGCTGGTACACTTCCCAGCTGATGGGCCTACTGCTTACAGTCGAGAAGCCTGAGCTCAGCAGCTCAAGAAAGAGCTGGGAAACCAGAATCCAACCAGTCTCATCTGCTGGGAAGGACCGAGGGAAAAATGCCTTAAGTTTCCCTGGATTCCTTGAACTCTGCATGGCCCTCTGGCCTCTGCTCAACCCCACCACCTCCCATGAGAAAACAGCCCCGGCCCTCTAATGTGCTGATAATAAGGGCCTACTGGGCCAGAGGCGAGGGAAAGACCTCAGACCAGGAGAATCCTCACTAAGCCATTTGTTCAGTTGGTAGGAAGACCAAAGGCAGCGGCCTTCTGGTCCTAGCAGCACCATGACAGGAGGAAAGTCACCATGGAGACCACTCAGGCTGTAGACAGAGGACGATCTCCAAGGGTCTCGCACCTCAGGCATCCTGCTGCCTGCTGCCATGCTATGTGACGGCCCTGTGCTCACAAAGGAAGTTTCTCTGGCACCTGAGCACTTACTTAACCGCTCTGTATGTTTCCTCATCTGCAAAATAGATCTACTAACTGTGCTTACCTCCCAGGCCACTCTGAGGATTAAATAAGGCAAAATACTTAAAGCGGTCAGAACAATGCCTGGCATACATTAAACATCAATAAATGTCAGCCGTAATAGTTCTTCCTGAGCTGTTCTCCATAGCACCCGGTGGTGAACCTTCTAGAGCTCTCAGTAATCACAAACAGCTGGCTGTGGTGCTCATGCCACAGGCTCACGACCACTGGCCTAGACAATTCAAGCAAGGGAGGAAGAGGATGCAAAAGAAATGCTTGCAATCCTTGAAGAAACTGACTAGCTTGTCAAGGCCTGTGAGTCTGCTGTCATTTGCAGCTTTGCCTTTTGACTGATTTCAGATTTCACAGGGCTTTGAAGAAGCCCTGTAATGAGAAACCAGCAAGCAGGCAGTCTGAGGGCTGCTCTGTGCACAGGGCCAGACAAAACCTTGTCCCCATCCCAGTGGCCCATGACACTGCTGGTCACATGAACATGCCTCCAAGGCCTTCCAACGCTTCACTGACCAGAAGCTACCACATGCATCCCCCTGAGCACCAGTGAGACTCTCTACCATCTGAGCCCGAACACCCACTTCTGGAAGAAGTGCCATTTGCACAGAACAGAGTGAAATCCCAACAGGATTCCTGTAAGCTCTAACTTCTAACTTCTTGCTAAAAGCCTTACTTCAAAAACCCGACTTTACTCATTTTCTCCAAGAACCTCAAAGCATGCACCTCAGAGGTCCAAGATGGGCTCAGTAAACTGTCAGCATGGAGGGAGGGAAGGGAAACGGTCCCAAGCACTGCTTTCGATGGAGTCTGAAGAGAACCTGCCTCGGGCACTCATTAACCCTCCCATCTATGCCCAGAGGGCCCCTGCACTGTGATGGTGAATCCTTCTGACTCCAACTCCTCAGCACTCGAAGTCAGCAACACGCAGCCATTTCCTGCCCCTGCCAGGACTCTTCCTCCTCCTCCTAGCACCAGTGCACACCCACAGAGGGACCAGAAAAGGCAGGAAATGCTTGCTCGAGACCAGAGAAAATGCCAGAAAACAGAAAGGGGGAAGAAAAACGAATCAGAACTGTGTTGAGCAGGGCAACTGTTCTCCCAAGAGAATGATCAACTTGATGGCTTATTTCATCATGAGAGGTACAGAAAAACGTGTTCTCTCCTCATGGGCTGCCTAAACTCTTCTTCGGGCCACCTTGCAACAACTGGCACTGTGCCTAAAAAGCAAAGGCTGGACTGGCTACCCTTGGGACGGTAAGGGTCTAGCTTACATTTACTCACGTGGTTTTAACTTAATCATCCAGATCCACAGGACACATCTCCCCATGGGCTCTTTACTGGGTAGGCCGTAATGCAGACCCTCTCTTCGGGTGCCTTCCCCAACGTCAGCCTCCAGTCTCTAGGATGCGAGTCACTAGGGAAGCTGAGGGAGTGCCCAGGACTGAGCCACAGGCTTAAGGAAAGCCAGCAGGGGTCCCCAACAGACACCGAATTCTGACAGATGTTTCTTCCGCCCTGCTGTACTTGTACTCTTCTCTACTTCTTGCCCCAGCTCCCCCCACCCAACCTTGAGAAGCAAGAGTCCGAATTTTATATTCCTAGTTAAACTTTCTTCCTCCAAGAGCTAATCTACCCTGACCCTACGGAGGGAAAGTCTGAGCTGCTGTAACTGCAGGGTTGGTTTATTTTCCCAACAGTGAAATAGCTAAACCAAATACGCCCTGTGTTTCAGCAGCTTAAACACTGAGGTCTGACAAAGACCCGAGATCCCACTTCGCCTGCCAAGGGCCAAGTGTGTGCCTAAGTGAGAGAACGTGGCTCTGAGCAGCGGGAGCCCGAGTGGGTGAAGGCGTCTGTGCAGCTCTTGCTGGTTCCCCCCAGCACCGCGGAGATGCGCCGGGCTGCGCCGCTCCGGGGCCGCGGAACCGGCCTTCTCGCCCCGCCTATTTAGCTCGGGGAGGGGGCGCCACCTCCCAGCGCGCAGGGTGCCGGTCACGTGACGGGGCGGGCCCGGTAACCCCGGCAACAGGGCCAGCCAGGCACCCGGAGCGGCGCCCTCCAGGTAAGCAGGCTGGGTGGGCTTTGGAAACCACTCCAGGCAAGTGCCCCGGAGACTGCCGTGCTAGGGGAATCTCCTCGTTCGTAAAATGAGCACCACACTTTTGCAGGAACTGGAAGGGGCACTTCAGGTCTGCAGGCTCTCAGATCTTAAGTCTTTCTTACACAGCCCTCACCCCCAGAACAACAGCTTTCGGTACCATTGTTTTTTAAAATTTTGCTTCTTTTCTTGGGACGGCACAATGTCCACAATGCCCCACGGGGAGCTTGCAAAGGGAGTGGCCCTGCATCCAGTGTCGGCCAGAAGCTTACGTTTCCAACGACTGACAGGGTCCAGGACCAAAACTGTTTAGAACTTTTCATAAAATTTCAGTCTGTCGCTGAATTCCGTTTATGTTCGCATTATGAAAACAAGGGACCAAGAAACGAGAACAAACATTAATAGTACGAGCACTTCAGAATAATTTTTGGCACGTCATAAAACACCAACTACGAGTTATCAACTTATTACAGTAGATCCCAATGTAATTATACATGACCGAGAAAATAATAACACAACTTATCTTTTAAAAACGTCGTATAATCCAGGCTAGTCCTAACTGGTCGGCGTGTAAATTCCCTGTGTACAATCTGTGCTGATGAAGACCTATGGGATTGGAGAAGAACGCCCGAGCCTTTTCCTGGGTCGCTGTGAAAAACTGGACTCAACAGGGAACAATAAAAATGGTCTTTCTGGAGAGTAGTATTTTTTTTCACCAGGGAGATGAGCAAAATGAAGTGACAGACGCAGTGGCGATAAAAATGACAAGGGAAAGATTGTTCACAGTGGCTTGACACAGAGCAGGGCCTCCTCCTGGCATCTCAACAGTGGAACTTTGCTGGGAGGAACAGCTCAGCAGGCCCAGCCCAGGAGCAAGAGGCTCCTGCCTCCACAGCCCAGGGGAGAACCTGTAACTTCACCCGGCCTCCATCCTGTTTAGAACCCTGAGCTGGATGACCTTTCTTAAAAGTCAGGCTCCTGAGCTGGGGATTCAGCTCAGTGGCCCTGTGGCTGCCTCACAAGCACAAGGTCCTGATTTCAATCCCTGGTACAAAAAAAAAAAAGTCAGGCTCCTTTACACTGTGGAACAAACTCTTCATAAACTTAGAATTTGAAAGGAGAATTACTGGCAAAAGGATGTGCTTTACAAAATTAATCAGAGCCCTGCTCTTGCTTGGCCAGAAGTGCTAAATGTTCAGAGATGAATTCTAGAATAGGCTGAAGATAACAGCATTAGTAACTACAGTAGAGCCAGAAGGGGCTAAGAAAAGTTCAAATCAGGAACCCAAAGGCTCTCCACCCACAGAGCCACTCTCACATAGCAAAGCCATCCTAAAATGTCCTAAAATATTAGGAGCCAACTCCTTTATCACTGACCCTACATTTTCCAGGAACAGTCTGGTGGCCTGAGGGAGGGAAGTGAGTCCAGAAACATGAAACTGTAATCAAAGGTCTGATCCCCCCAAATGCCTTGTTAACTACCTGGGCCAAAGCCAACTAAGAAAAGCACCTCCATGCACATACCCACAGGCCCACAGACCTTCCACTTCCCACCAGGCTCATCTACGACTGCAGCCACCCATTCCAGGAAACTGGGCTGGCCTCCACAGCTGGAGGCTGTGGGCACCTTCCCTCCTGCTGTATCAGCTTACTCTGGCAATTTTCTCCTGACCTGTGAAGCTGAAGTCATTCCTTAGGACTCCTGTCAGGTTACTTGAGGAATCAAGTGCCTGGGAACTGAAGCAAAGCCTGGTAAGCAAGCAACACCACAGTGTTAAGAAAGCAACTGTTGAGCAATTGAAAGGCAATTTTCTCTCACCTTCCAACACCCAAGCACTCCTCTGATCATTTAAATGTCAACCCAACTAGGCTTTTCTCTTTTGTTCTAAGCTGCTGAAGGGCTTCAAGACAAGGCTGGGGCTCAGCAGGCAGAGACCAAGAGCTTCTGGGAGTTGCCAAGAACATCTGGGCACACGATCCCCCTTCCTATGAGGTGAACCTCAGGGCTAGTTCAAGCCCATCCCCACCCCAATTACTGGAAGATTTCAGTAATTTCAGAGGCAGTAAAAAAAAAATTTTAAAGTCGAAGAAAAAGAACATGGCATCACAAAGTTGAATTCAACCGTGGAAATTATCAACCGACAAAACAACACATAAACTACCTGATAATGACACCTTTGGGGCTGGGCATGGGCTTCTTCCAACTCAAGTTCAAGAGACTCCTTTTAGCCCACTCCCATTCACAGCTTCCTTGACAGGATACTAGAATGTGGGTTTCCTGAGCCAGTAAGTCTTTGGGCTCTAAATGTGTAGACAGTGGGCTGGGATGAAGACAGACTTCTAATTACAAATGTCCTGGCAAGGCAAATGGCCAGGGAGAAGCACCTTTCTCCAGGAAGGGGGTATCCAGCTTTCAATCACTTTATAAAATGGTGCCAGACCCAAAATGGGTTAAAAACACTGACCTACTCCAGCTCTTAGATTTTTACACACAAGGCCCAGAAAAGTTAATTGAGTGCTGCAGATGACAGAGCAAATTGTGTTACTTTCTGAAGCTGGTTGCAGCCTGTAGGAAGAAGAGGACACCGTATGAGCCAACAGCCCTTTTCCACTTCTAATTTCAAGGACTCCGCGAGGTCTCCAGTCGCCCTGTCTGGATTTTCAGGCCTGAGTGTGTCAGTCACCACTCTTTCCCTGGAGTGTCTAGATGGCCAGGGGCTGGGGAGGCTGGAGGTGGCCAACAGCCAGCCACTTAGCACCAAGGCAGGCACCAACTCTCAACCAAACTGTTTCCTGGGGGCTCAAAACAGGGTTTCCAAAAAGCCCAGTCCTCCCGGGTGAGACACAGTTCAGTACCCCAAGGACCAATCACAAGGCTGGTCTGCACATAAGGAAAAATCACCAAAAACCACTGGCCCCCAATACCATATGGTTTCCAGACCAGGCCAGTATGAACAATTTCACAAGGGAAAAGGGGGATCTAGTAAACTAATTCAGAATGAGAACTTTCTTGCAAATGAAGTACAATTTTCAGAGATTACTCTGGGATGGGAAAATGTCTGTAATAGCATAATTGACAGTTCACAATATAAAAATGCTATCAATATGTGGTCAGCAGCTGCCCCTTGCAGACTAACAGGCCATTTACAATCAAGTAATTAAGAGGCCATCAGCTCAAGGAAACTAATGTAGACTCTCTCTTGAAGGGAAGAATTACAAATGAAAACCTCTTTAAGAGATAACCAGGCACTTGCAAACTACAAAGAAAAGCCCATGGAAGTAGACAAAGGGCAGCACTTACTTTGTAGGTGACCCTGTAACTGGTTGGGCCTTTCCACAAGTATTGTAGGAAGATGAAACATCAAAGTACACATCCTCTCTTGGCTTTTGACCCTTGACCCCTGGGGGGGAATTATTTCCCGAATAAATGACTAAAGTGAGAGGAAAAGGGGTTGTATTTATGAATATGCTCATCACTGCATGTGGGAATTAACTGCCACCAAAAAAGGAAGCGGCTAACAAAGCCACAGCAGGACAGTGTACACATGTGGTGGCCCAAAGCTCTGACCCCAAAAGCAGAATGCAGCTCATTGCCAGGTCCCTGGGCACTTCTTCACTACGTGAGGAATGCACTGCTCTTCTGAAAGTGGCTGCTGTGAGGACTAAATGAGATGATCCATGAGAAAGACATTTAGAACAGTGCCTGACACATAGGACTTGACCAAAGCTGGCTGCAATTATTACTATGCACTGAAGTGGCAAACAGATAAAATCAGGCAGTTCAGCAAAGCCCAAAGTGTGCTTACAATGAGTTAAATTACTCATCTAGTCCTGGTTCTCATTAGCTTCTTTCTCTTCAGTGGTGAAGTTTTTGTGACAAACCATAAAGAGGGAGAAAGAATACACTTGGAAGCCTTTGCAGAACAGGGCAGTGAATGGTGCAAGGGGCCTGATTCTGTTTGAGTCTGTGTATCTTCCCCCTAGAGACTCAGCAAAACGTGTGCCCAAGGAGTTCCTCCAGGAGTAGACACTGATCGCCAGGAGACACTCTCCACCACAACTGACTCAGACATTAGCATGCAGCACGTTCTGTCTGTGAGACACAGGGAATGTCTGCAGGGCCCTTCAGAGAAAGATGTCCCGCCTCAGAACCAGGCAGCCTCCCTCTTTCCTCTATAGGGTAGTATCACGTCCCCAAGGACATGGGACCTGCAGCAGCCCTCCCATGGCCACAAGAGGAGCTAAGTCAACATGCTTTGGGGACAGAGCAGCGAGATGCAGAGAGCACTGCCCTGTAAGGAACTCCGCTGTGCTAGGATTTAGCCAAACAGCTGGGTGCTGTGGCACGAGCCTGGAATTCCCGCACTTGGGAGACTAATGGAGGAAAATCTTGAGTTTGCAGCCAGCCTGGGATGCATAGTGAGTTCCAGGCCAGCCTGGATTACATAGTAAAACCCTGTCTCAAAGAAAGAAAAGAAATTAGCCAGTGCTGGAGCTACCTATTGTGAGACTTATTAAAGTGGAAAAATAATATTTTCTTTATTGTTGGAGTCAGGAGAGTTACAGTTTTCTGTTCCTCTCAACGGAAGGCATCCTAACAAGGCGGGGGGCCTGAGCAACATCTAAGGGAGACCCAACAGGCCCACCCAACTCTGGGCCGGGATTCGGCCAGGGGAGATGGCAGGCGCACCTGAAGCACACGAAGGACTGTCCCCAGGCCTGAGAATACCAGATGGTGTTGCAGGCAGGCGCTGAGCAGCTGAGCCCCAGACGTATGGCCTTTTACGACCTCTAGAAGCCTCCTGGCCACCAGCTCTCCCATTTCTGGAGTCACCCATTTCACAAAAGCTGCCCTCTAACATAGAGTTTCCAGAGAGTGTGCAGGATACTCAGTTACACTTGGATTTCAGAAAAACAATGAATAACTTCCTAGCACAGGTATGTTTCACAGGTGATGTCTGGCCAGGCCCTGGCAAAGGACAAAGACCCTGGCAGCACTCTGGAAGCAGGATGGCCTCCCCTGCTTCCCGACTGCCGGGCTCCCTGGGTGTGTCTGGTCTGGCACCAGGACGGCACGTGCAGGTTTCCGATGTGCATTTTATAGCAGATGAGAAGTGGTCAATGCTTTGGATGTAAGGGTGTGGCAAGGGTCACTCTGGTCCTGAGAGGTTTGGAAAGTGTGTGGCAGGCTGACGGGGGTGCTGTGGCCCTGAGAGCTTTTTCCAGGAGGCAGAAGACAGGACAGCTCCCTGACCCGACTGCCTATGTGATGCCCATGACCATGGACTGGGGTGAGAAGCAGCAGTGGGCAGGGCCTCACACCTGCTGCCCGCTGTCCTTGGCTCTCCTAATCTGTGCTCATGCTGCTCTCACAGCCTTTCTCCATCAGGCCATGCCTGACAGTGCGGTCCCCCTGGGGCCAAGGACGATGTTCAGTTTGCTCGGTGTAGTGCAGCCTCCTCGCTCACAAACAACCCCTCAATAAAGCTCCCCGAGGACAGCAGGGGTTCATTTCCTGGAACCTTGCACATGGTTCCTGTTTCACGTCCCTACAGTATCCTGCCCAGGGCCACAGGACTACCCCAGATCTGGGGACGCAGTAAGTGCCTCGAGCCACCGGCTCCCTGAGGCAGGAAGATTCATGACTAAACAGCCATAAAACTGAGCCGGTTTCCAACAACGGACGAAATTTGTCTTCCCTGCCTTTATCCCTTTTCTCCCCGATTCCCTGCCTCTAGAAGCTGCTGCACTAAGAGCACTGAAAAAGAAATGTGGGGTGGAGTGACTGGTGCCTGTGACCTTCAGAACAACAAGGAGAGAACAAATGGAAGTGCTGATGTTTCCAGCGACCCTTTCCAATTGCAGTACTTGCCTTTCTTTCTAGAAATGACAGGGGAAAAATCATGCCAAATCTGCAGGTAAGAAAGAAGCAAGCAGGGCTGCCTACATAATTTGCAGGGCCCAAAGCAAAGGGTACCTTTTCATACTTCTTACTAAAAAAGCAGGCAACGGTACCTCGAAGGGTACCTCAAACTGCTTCTTCCCAGCAGTCTCGCTCACTCTGATGCACCATTTCCTACCTCCTATTTGATGTCATGCACTGACTGTACCCTCCTGAACCCTTGACCAGGCCCCTAATGGGCAAGAGGTGTCAGCAGTTGCCAGGGTAGAGTCAGACAAGCCAGGTGAGCCCTGAGTCCAGGGGTCCATGCTGCATCGTCCCTCTGGACTTTACACACAACACAAAGAAAGAATTATGCAGGATTTTTAGACAGCAGCTGCAGAGCTCTCAAGCCCAAACAGGAGAGGTCTGTGAGTTTAGGCCAAGGTGGGCATAGTGGCCCACACCCGTGATCCCAGCACTCTCAGAGGCTGAGGCAGGAGAATCACAAGTATGTGAGCCCAGCCTGTGCAACTTAGCGACTCAGCGTGAACCTGAATCAATCGATCGATCGATCAATCAAAGAGCGAGGGTACAGGTCAGTGAGAAGGCCCTGGGTTCCATCCTCAGCACAAAAACCTCTCAAAAAAGCCCAATACCCTGTCCGAGCTTATAGGACATTTCTGAGGTCATCCTCTACCTCTTTCCTCCCTCCCAGATCCTTTGATTCCAGCTCGATAAATCTTGAAATTCTGCAAATGTAATCAATTCCTTGCAGTAGTTGTTAACCAGATATAGGATATGCCCTCAGCCCTCTAGGGTGTTTGTTTGTATGTGTTTGCATGTTTGTGTGTATATGTGTGTGTGTGTTCATACATAGATTGGAAGAGAGAACTGCTCAAGGACAAAAATACCAAGTGACCTGCAGCATGACAGACAGTCCCACACAGTGAGATCTGTTGTACCCAGTGCAGTCAGGCCCAGGTTGGTTCAAGTGCCCAGGACACCTTCAAACAAATGAGCTTAAATGAGCATACCCATGAGACCTCCATCACTTGTCCTGGAGGCGACAAATGCTGGCCAGAATTCCCTAGGAGTACTGCTCATCCCTTCCTCTGAGGGCTTCACAGCAGGCTGGCGCCATACTGGTCCCAGCTCAGCCAGTGAGAGGCTCACGAGTGGGAAGTGAGGCCTTATCTCCTGGACCCCTTTTCTCCTCAAACCCCCTCCACACCAGACCCCCCAGGGTGAGGTGGGGGGTCCTCCCGATACGGGCCTCTAGCTCCCAGAGGGGGGCTTCAGGAAACCTTCACGGTGGGGTACAGTAAGCCACAGGGTGGAAACTTCACAAGGGTGAGGTAATAGTTGTGGTTTTATGTTTAGCACCTGTGTCTTCCGGAGACCTCAGGGCTCATGGGAAGAGTGGGTTTTAGTCACCTTCCCACTGCAGCAAGGCTCACTTGCAAGCCAAGCCCTTGAGCCCGTCCTCCACCCAGTCCCAGCAGCCAGAGCCTCCTCGTGGGAACAGCAGGCCCGTGAGGTCCCAGCTGTCTGGTTCCCTGGTGCCCTGGTGCATCATGGGTGCAGTCCCGCCGCAAGAGTAAGTGAAGGGTAAGCAAGTGTCCACAGCTACTCCCACCGGGCGGGCAACTGAGAAGGAAGGTGAAGGAAGCAGGGCTGCACCCGTTCCTCCTAGCGGGCCTCTTGTACTCAAGTTCCCAGAGCTTCCTATGCTCAAACTGCACCACTTCCTGCTCAGCTGTATGCACGTGCCAATTTCACAGTGAGACTGCAAAGGTACTGAGGTACGGGAGCCCAGGCCAGGCCGCACGCCCTGGAGGAGAAGGGCTGGCGCTTGCCGTGGCCCTGCACGCCTCAGCCCATGGCCTTGCACAGCCCCTCCTCGGCTAGTCCCGGGCCCAGCTCACGGGCCCCACACAGACTTGAGTGCCCCCGTCCGGTGTACCCTGCTCCAGCTCCAGAAGGGCAGCGTCTCCCGAGAGCAGCACAGGCCCGGGTGTGCAAAGTCAGAGTCACAGTGCATCACTGTACGCCCTGGAGGAAACACGCAACCCAGCTGAGGCGGCTATCAGCAAACCACAGGACAGGCAGTAACACTCCCCGACTGCGGCACTTACACAGCAGCCCTCCGCTGGGCGCACGGTGCGCACACCCACACACACTCCTTTCTGTACACGCCCTGACATACAAAAGCAGCACAGCTCCACATACACGCGGGCTCTCATGTCCTGACTGGCCGGCCCTAAGTTCGCAAGAGTGTCGGCTGCTGGCTCCCTGAGTGGATCCAGCGTCTCCTCCATCCCACTGCCAAACCTAATGTCCACATCACCCCATGGACAGAAGCAGTTCAGAAACGGCACAGAAACCAGGTTTGGAGAGATGGCTTCATTGAAGAGGGAAGTGGCAAACGACTGCTATTTTTATCGGCTTTTCTCAGTGCCCCTCTGTCAGGGGTGACAAGCACCGTGCCCTCCCCCCAGGTTTCCGGTCTCATCCCATTTTAGATCTTCTGCAGCCAGGCTCCCTCTGTCTCCTCGTCCGGGGGCTGGGACACAGCTGTGGCCCGAAGGAGTGTCTAGCAAGGCAGACCATGGTTTCAGGGGAATCTGTTTAGGCTAAGACCATCTGTTAGCATGCCTTCTCTCTAAGACATAGCCCTACACATGTATGGTTCACAAAGGACACTATTCTGCTGCTTGACACTTGGCTGGGACTTTAAAACGGTCCTTTCTGCCACATTAGCAACCAGAGAATGCATCCTGGGTGCTCAGGTAAATACCAGCGTCCTACACAACTCCCTTGCCTCATTAAAACAACCCCCCACACCTGGGCTGTATTTACTTTTAGAACTTCCATTTCCCAGCTCCAACCTGAGCCTGTGACCTGGCCCTACCCCACAAGGACCTCCTCTGACTTAGAAAATTAAAGTTTTTGACAGTCTTATTTTCTCTTTTCACTCAGCAATTTCTCACTGAGTCTGGCAAAAGGCCCTCTTAAAGGCCGCATGAGGCAGCGCTTCGTGAGGACTTCTCTTGCCAGACATAAATGCTGTCCCTCCGAATACCTCCGGCTCTTCTCTGGGGCTCACGGTCGGCTCTACTCTCCTTGCCCCTTGAATTCGGTGTGGACAAGAGTCTTGCTTGGTATTCAGTGAGAGCAGAAGAGCTGTGTGTCACTCCTCTGGGCTGCAGTGTTCCACGTCGGATCTGCCATGCTCCTTCCCTCTACCAAGGTTACCAACATCATCAACCCAGGTCATGGAATGGGGACAGGAGGGAGCAGAGCCCACAGCTGGCCGGGATCCGGGACACCGCATCAACAGGGAAGAGCCCTGTGCTGCTTTCAGTCGGTGGGCCTGTGGGGTTGTTACTGCAACAGAACCCACCCGCGGCCCTTGCACCACTTGAAGAAAGAAGTCTGAGAACCTGCTCGCTGCCTGAAGGGAGGACATAAGAAAGCAGCAGGAGAGAGGAGAAAGAAGGGTCCAGGGCAAACTCCGTCATCCCTGCCTTGTTTTTTAATGCTTTCATGCTTTTGTGCACGTGAGCCCTTCTATTCCAAATGTTCTTCCCCTTCCTATGATTTAGGAATCACAGAAAGGTCAACACCTTCAAATTTCAACTTAAACTACATCATCTCCAAGAATATTTCTCTTCCCATAACCCCAGGTAGTTCTGGCATCTGGGCGCTGCTACCAGCAGGACTCTGAACTTATCACTAAAAATACACTTATTGCACTCACTTCTCTAGGAAGATAGGACAGAGAAGTGGTTACGAGGGCAAGCTCTGAAACAACGGCTTTGAATCAGGTGTGATTAGCCGAGATGTTTTAAAAAGATAGAGTCTTTATTTGGGGGCGGGGGGTTACTGGGAATCGAACTCAGGACCTTGCACTTGCCAGGCAAGCACGGAGCCACCGTGCTATATCCCTGGCCCTGAAAGATAGTCTTACTGTGTTGCCCCTACTGGCCTCAAATTCCTGGGCTCAAATGGTCCTCCTGCCTCAGCCTCCTGAGTTGCTTGGATGACAGGTGAGCACCATGGCACCCAATTATGGAGAGCTTTTTTGGTTGTCACGAGTGGACAGGTGCTACTAGACACGGGTGCTGCCACACATCCTACAGTGTACTGGACAGCATCCCACAGCACGAAACTGACTTAGCCCAAATCAGTGTGCCATGGCTGAGAGACTGCAGTGCAAGTCTGAGGCGACATCCTGACTCGTGTGTCACTGTGACCTGCACGCATGTCCCTCAACCTCTTGAGCAACGCCTGCCACATAACAAATCCGTGACCTATGTTAGAGACTGTACCTGCCTCCTCCACTGAAGTGCGAACTCCTAGAAGGTGAGAACTGAGATGTTCTTATGTGCGTGCCCCTGGCTGCCAGGACACAATAAACGTAGGCGGGTACGTTCACCCTTTTCTGAAAGCTAGCTAGTTGCAAGGAGTGGATAAAACCTTCCGCCAGACACCAAAAGGCAAAGCCTGAGTATTCCACTGACAAAATCTACACTGTTTCAGTATATTTATTACTTCCAGTTCACTATAAATGACAAATCCAAGAGACTCTCAGCCAGAATATTTAAGAAACCAGAAGACAGACACAGAGAACCATTCGCAAGTTCATGGCAAATAAACTATACTAAACTATGATGTCATCTGAAGGAGCCACCTGAATCAAGCGACCTCACCAATGGCCATAATTCATTTATGGATTTAAACTCAACCCAGGCACAGACATCAAATTTTCATTTGCATCAGTAACAAGAGTTTGTTGTATTTTTTAAAAACTACTGAGCAACTTCAAACCAAAATCTCAAACTAGCTCCTCAAAATGTACTGGTCAGAAAAAATTCTGAACCAAACTGTCATTTGCTTCAGTTTTACCTCTGGTCTTGAGCCCAAAAACCTGACCCCTTGCCAAAATGTGTCGGACAGCTCTAATGGGCTCAGAGGACTGTGCAGAAAGCCTGCGGTCATCTATCTTCATGAGACTATTTCTACTCCTCAGGC